GTCTCCATCACTCACAGGACTGTAAAACTGATTTATTTGGAGACAATAATATGTTTTGATCATCAGAAAATGCTGTTTCATCACGAATAATTTAAAAAATAGAGAATGGAACTTAAACTACTATATATTTTGTGGTATACTGAAACAAAGAGACGACGCCCTTTTCTAAATACACTGATAATGAAAGATATAAGCTACAAAAAAAGACACACACACACACACACACACACACACACACACACACACACACACACACACACACACACACACACACACACACACACATATATATATATATATATATATATATATATATATATATATATATATATATATATATATATATATATATATATATATATATATATATATATATATATGGTAAACAGTGAGCGGTATTAGATGCGTGGCTCCACCAGCCATCAAACACTGCCCCTCGACTATAAAAAATTTGAGTATTGGTTTACCATATGTCAAATTATTACTAGATAAAGTATACACTGTATAGTGTATACACTATACAGGCCTATACTTTTAAACTGGCTTAAGGCTAACTCGTCATAATGACCCTACCTAACCCCTCTGGACCCTCACTTCCCTCACTGCACCTTCATAGGCAGCTCTGTGTATCTGGTTGATGTTATAAAAACTTCTCACACGAGAAACGATATCTTCGATAAAATCTTCTGTCAACGGAAATTGTTCTATTGCCACTAGCTTACGCAATAAATATATCCACGCGAGTGACCTTGGGTAAGGTCACGCGAATTTAGCCAGAAATCGACCGATTTGTAAGTAAACAATATTGACTTAATCTATAAATTCTACATTATTAAAAAGTGCGCGTGTGTGTGTGAGAGAGAGAGAAAGAGAGTGATTTATTACAGGAGGGAGTGATAAAGCTGAGAGCGGATATAGGTGCTACAAATCGAGCGAGTTTCTATATTTCTAATTATATATCTCTCTGTCGCTCGGCTGTAACGCCAACCCTTAATCAAACCGCCTGAGAGAAATCGGAATGTACGGTGATTCAGTCTATTATTTTCTCACTTAATTCATAGACCGAAGAGGAGCCGAGTCTTCCTTGCTCGAGCGGAGAGGAATCACATGTGAATTTCGAAGATATAATTACCACTTTCTTGTGGGACGACATTTTACTCTTGCTGTGAGACCTGAGCTTTCTCTCTGTGAGGTGAAAATGGGGGTTAATCCCTCCATGAATGCGCCATTATGCCTTAGAAAATATTATCTGATCTGGATTATTTTTCCTCGTGCTAAATTGAATTGAATTTCCTGATTATTTTGGAGATAACAATGAAACAGAATTTGCCCATCGCCAGGGACGCCTCGCGTATTTATAATCAAACAATAAATCTAACACCAAGTAAGATAATCTTAGCAAAAATCGATCAGAATACGTTGTCATTCGTAACCACAATCAGGAAAAGTAAAACAAATTAGTAAGGAAATTTATGTTTTAAATAAATATATAAATTCTGCTAGACTGAAATTCGAGGCGATATTTAACGTTATCGCGAAAGGCGTGTTTTTAGCCACTTGTCAATCAGTTTAGGAGGAGTTCAGTAAATCAGAAATTCAGTAATTCGGAACTTTTCCACGGGAGGACTTGTTGTTGTTGTTTAAGATTTGCTACTTGAAACAAAAGTTCCAAGTAGCACGGGCTATGGTGAGCCCGTAGTGGACTTTTTTCACGGGAGGAGGAACTGTGTGGAGGCATCAGCATCAGTGGCACGCTACAGTGTCCTTGGTGAGGAAGTACAAAGTGTCAGTGATTTCAATGCGGCAGTAAGATGTCACGGGGACTTCAACATTACAGTAAGACTTCAGAGGGTCAGACACAATGGGGGACGTCAATGACTGAGTGAGATACATGTTGATTTCAGAGCCTGAGCTCGCCGGCAGGGACATCAATGCTTCAATCACAGCGATGACGTCAACATTGGAGTTACACATCGCTGTGGTATTAACGCTGCAAACTAACAATACAATGACTTCAACGCTGCTTTAATACGCATTACAGTGATATCAACCCGGACTGAATAATTCATTCTACACCGCGGTAGTCATCTCAGGGACTTCAGTTTTGTATTAAGAACCATTAACGCTGAAGAAAGATTCTTGAATCATTTAAATTTTGCAGTAAGGAGTCACAGAGACTTCAGCTCTATATTTAAGACATCAGACTCATTTCAGTGATCTAGCAAGACATCGCACTAACATGATTCAGTAGAATATGCCAAGAATCTCAAATTTGCAGCAGACTGACTTCAGAGCTACGGTAAGACATCACAGTAACTTCAGAGCTACAGTAAGACATCACAGTAACTTCAGAGCTACAGTAAGACATCACAGTAACTTCAGAGCTACAGTAAGACATCACAGTAACTTCAGAGCTACAGTAAGACATCACAGTAACTTCAGAGCTACAGTAAGACATCACAGTAACTTCAGAGCTACAGTAAGACATTACAGTGCTTTAGAGCCTCAAAAACGTGACCGAAATTGAAATACGTTTATTGAGGTATAAATAGATACACAAAGGGACTACCAGAAGAAGCTGAAAACTGAAAACTCACACCCCAGAAGTGACTCGAACCCATACTGCCAGGAGCACTCTGCATCTGGCGTACAGGACACCTTAACCACTCGACCAACACGACCGGACAAAAGAGGATGGTAGCCGAGGCTAATTCCCCATCCCCCCGCCGGCACTCTGATGGTAATCTTGGGCATGGTATTTTATCAAATCACCTCATTCTTTGGAGCACACGTGAGGAACACAAATGCGAACAAGCCTGAACGGTCTTGTGCTTCTGGTAGACCGTTCAGGCTTGTTCGCATTTGTGTTCCTTACGTGTGCTCCAAAGAATGTGGTGATTTGATAAAATACCATGCCCAAGATTACCATCAGAGTGCCGGCGGGGGGATGGGAAATTAGCCTCGGCTACCATCCTCTTTTGTCCGGTCGTGTTGGTCGAGTGGTTAAGGTGTCCTGTACCCCAGATGCAGAGTGCTCCTGGCAGTATGGGTTCGAGTCACTTCTGGGGTGTGAGTTTTCAGTTATATATATATATATATATATATATATATATATATATATATATATATATATATATATATACAACTTTAGAACACTTTCCCACCAGGAGACTCGAACCCTAGCCAGCACAGAAGCCTTCCAGCAACTGGCATAACAGGTACGCCTTAACCCACTCCACCACCTGCTCAGACCCTTAAAAGAGATGGTAATTTCGGAGTATTTATATATTCCAAAGATCACCACCTCCCAAGAGCACTAGAGCAGGTGAGGGGGTCATTTATACGTTTTTTCATGAAGTCCCTGTTAATATGGGAGAACACTGTGTCTATGCTTAAGGCACAACTCTCCTAAACACGAGAGTGAAGTTTTGTTCTAAAGTTGTATACTTCACTCTCGTGTTTAGGAGAGTTGTGCCTTAATCATATATATATGTATATATATATATATATATATATATATATATATATATATATATATATATATATATATATATATATATATATATATATATATATATATATATATCAACATGTTACTGAACATTGTGATGACCGGAACTTTGCATCTACTGTGTCTACTGGTTTGACTACGAGGAGGAGGAGAAGGGAGAGGAGGAAGAGAGGGAGGAGGAGGGGGAGGAGGAAGAGAGGGAGGAGGAGGGGGAGGAGGAGAGGAGGAAGAGGTTGTCGATATTCCGTTTTACTGACTAGCTTCTTGTGCTTCTGGTAGGATTACGTCCAAGTTCCTTGGCTCTTCGTCATTCCGCTTGTTAGTTAGAGAGATTGAGAGAGAGAGAGAGAGAGAGAGAGAGAGAGAGAGAGAGAGAGAGAGAGAGAGAGAGAGAGAGAGAGAGAGAGAGAGAGAGAGAGAGAGAGAGAGAGAGAGAGAGAGAGAGAGAGAGAGAGAGAGAGAGAGAGAGAATAATATGTATCCCTCTGGCCATCTAGAGGGTTGATTGTACTTGTTGCCGGTTTGCCTCCTTCTTCTCCTCCTCCCCTTCACCCGCAGCACAGCCCTAAGCCAGTTTTCTTTTTAAGGGCTTGACCAATGAGGCTGTTGTTGTACGAATCGTCCCGCAGGACCACATAGCAGTACAATAACAGCCTTGCACTTCATGTAGTAATCTCTCTTATTTTCTCTTGACAATTTCAACCTTTGTTCCGGCAGTGTCTTATAATATGAAAGTAGAAGGTCAGGTAGCCATGGAGCTCCGATGTTTACAGTGTTCAGTGACTAGCGTTTAGCACATCTTCTCTTCACTGGGTCTCTTCTAGACTTCCTGGAATATCTCTCGCTCCTTCCAACCAAACAGTGCTCGAATCGAAACCAACTGAACACATCATCTATTTGCGCGCAATTCCTCACACACACACACGCACACACACGCACACACAGACACAGACACACACACACATACACACACACACACACACACACACACACACACACACACACACACACACACACACACACACACACACACACACACACACACACACACACACACACACACAGCTGAAAGCCGTGCTGACAACACTCTCGGGTCGTAGTCTTAAGGCCCCGGGTTAAATTTCAGGTCGAGGTAGAAACAAATGAGCAGTGTTCATTTCACCTGATACCTCTGTTCACCTAGCAGTAAATAGGTTCCCTGGGAACTAGACAGCTGCTAAGGGCTGCATCCTGGAGATGTGTGCACATATGTGTGTGTGTGTGTATGTGAAAGATATATACGTAGTAGATTTGATAGAGGAGAAATAGATCGGGAGTCAATGCATTAGAAAACCAACGGTTGGAAAGGAGGGGCCCAAGAGCTAATAGCTCCATCACGCAGGTACAATAATAAATACAAAAAGATAGTGAATATACACACACACACACAACCAATTCAATAAATACAAGACAAATAGTGCCATGCGTTATCAATTAACATACTGCTCACCATCCTGTAGGTCTGTGATGATCACGCGTATGATAGCGCTGCGAGGGATAACCTCCGTACGGGGTAACGTTGTGTAAAACTGTGTTGGTTAGCCCTCTGTGCGTGTGTGTACTCGACTCAAGAGACGCAGCACGACTGACGACTTCTTCTCCCGCTTTCAGAAAGTAAGGCACTCAACCCGCCTCCGCGCATGCGCACTTCCACACCGATGCATGCGGTTGGTTACTGCTGAAGATGGGGGAGGGGGAGGGGGGAGTGGAGGGGGGGATGGGAATAAGTTGTAAGGAATTTTCTTACGCTCTGAAGATCTTTTTCCCAATTATAAGATCAGGAGGCTCTCTTACGCAAGAGAGCGTGCAGCCAGCCGTACAGGAGAGAGAGCCCAAACGTCAGCGACAGTTTTCATGGTTTCGATAAAATGATTTCCTGCAGGAGGCGGTGAGGGAGGCGGCGCCTGTGGGTGAGCGGGAGGAGGAGGAGGAGGTCCCAGTGGACCCACTTGGATACCAGTTAACACAGTTCCTAAACTGGCCCCAGAAACCTAACTGTTTCTTCACTCGATCGACAAACTTTGTAGTCGGCTGTTAGTATTGGGTGTCTGTGTGTGTCTGTATAATACTGGTGTATGTTGATATTGTTCATGGCTGGTATTTCTGTTAGCTCTGTTAATACTAACAGTCAGACTCTCACTACTGCTACTGAAACGACTACTCCGACTGTTGTTTCTACTGTTGCTACAATTATAGCTATTGCAATATTGCTACCACCACCACTACAATTAGTACTTCTACAAGAACTTCTGGTTCTAATGCAACTACCATTCTAACTACTGTTATTACTACTACCATTGCTGCTACTGTTGCTGCTACTGCTGCTGCTGCTGCTGATAATGATGATGATGATGATGGTGATGATGATGATGATAATGATGATGATGATGATGATGATGTTACTACTGCTACAGACGTGCATGTTTCATAAATTTGCATCTACAACCAAACTTACTGTAATTTGATCAGCTGTTGTACACTTACAGCTGCACGTACAGCTGGGCGGGTTCTTGTGAGTGGGAAGACATACGTGTACACAGCTTCTTCACCCGCCGGGCACGTCCGCTGAGGAGGAACCGTGATGAAGCGTGAGAGCTGTAAACGTCTTGGGCACGCTGGGGTCTCCAGGGGGCACGCTGGGGTCTCCAGGGGCACGCTGGGGTCTCCAGGGACACGCTGGGGTCACCAGGGGCACGCTGGGGTCTCCAGGGGCACGCTGGGGTCACCAGGGACACGCTGGGGTCTCCAGGGGGCACGCTGGGGTCTCCAGGGGGCACGCTGGGGTCACCAGGGACACGCTGGGGTCACCAGGGACACGCTGGGGTTTCCAGGGGGCACGCTGGGGTCACCAGGGACACGCTGGGGTCTCCAGGGGCACGCTGGGGTCACCAGGGGCACGCTGGGGTCTCCAGGGGCACGCTGGGGTCACCAGGGGCACGTTAGGGTCACCAGGGGGCACGCTGGGGTCACCAGGGGCACGCTGGGGGTCACCAGGGGCACGCTGGGGTCCCCAAGGGCACAGGAGCGGGGCTGCAAATGGCGGCGCCAAGCCATTGTTGTTGTTGTTTTAGATCCAGCTACTCAGAACGAAATGTCCATGTAGCACGGCCTATAGTGAGCCCGTAATGGCTACAGTATATAGACGTCCAGCAGGAGTCAGACAGCCTTTTGGGCTATTCATGCCCGTGCCGCCTCTTGGGTGGCTTAATCTTCATCAGTCAATCAATCAATCGTCAGACAGAGCCGTAGACGGAGGAGAAGCGCTGCCGAGCACGAGTGTGTGGTTCTGGGGTCGTAGTTATCTTGAGGTTATCTTGAGATGATTTCGGGGCTTAGCTTAGCCTGCGGCCCTCGACCAGGCCTCCTTTGTTTGTTACATTCCACCCCGGGAAGCAGCCCGCAGCAGCTGTCTAACTCCCAGGTACCTATTCACTGCTAGGTAACAGATGCATCAGGGTGAAAGAAACATTTTGCCCATTTGTCTCCGCCTGGGATCGAACCCGGAACCTCAGGACTACAAATCCGAAGCGCTCTCCACCCGGGTGAGGAACGTGTCCAACAACTTGATGATGTGTCCGCAGCATCACTTGTCGATTTGTCACTCCGTAAAAAAATGCAACTGTTTTGCCACGCCAGAAACTTAGGAACCCAAGCAGCTCAGCTAACCCATCGAGGCCCCGTGCACGGACAACCTCAATACTATGGTATATTACTTTTGGCTAATGAGTAGCAGTTTAAATGAATTGATCGATTTTGTATAAAAAAGTGTTTAAGGTTAGAGTACTCGCTCGCCGGTGTTGCAGGGTCGCCGGTGTTGCAGGGTCGCCGGTGTTGCAGGGTCGCCGGTGTTGCAGGGTCGCCGGTGTTGCAGGGTCGCCGGTGTTGCAGGGTCGCCGGTGTTGCAGGCTCGCCGGTGTTGCAGGCTCGCCGGTGTTGCAGGCTCGCCGGTGTTGCAGGTTCGCCGGTGTTGCAGGGTCGCCGGTGTTGCTGGCTCGCCGGTGTTGCAGGGTCGCCGGTGTTGCTGGCTCGCCGGTGTTGCAGGTTCGCCGGTGTTGCAGGTTCGCCGGTGTTGCTGGGTCGCCGGTGTTGCAGGTTCGCCGGTGTTGCAGGTTCGCCGGTGTTGCAGGTTCGCCGGTGTTGCAGGTTCGCCGGTGTTGCTGGGTCGCCGGTGTTGCAGGTTCGCCGGTGTTGCAGGTTCGCCGGTGTTGCAGGTTCGCCGGTGTTGCAGGTTCGCCGGTGTTGCTGGGTCGCCGGTGTTGCAGGTTCGCCGGTGTTGCTGGGTCGCTGGTGTTGCAGGTTCGCCGGTGTTGCTGGGTCGCCGGTGTTGCAGGTTCGCCGGTGTTGCTGGGTCGCAGGTGTTGCAGGCTCGCCGGTGTTGCTGGGTCGCCGGTGTTGCAGGTTCGCCGGTGTTACTGGGTCGCAGGTGTTGCAGGTTCGCCGGTGTTGCTGGGTCGCAGGTGTTGCAGGCTCGCCGGTGTTGCTGGGTCGCCGGTGTTGCAGGTTCGCCGGTGTTACTGGGTCGCCGGTGTTGCAGGTTCGCCGGTGTTACTGGGTCGCAGGTGTTGCAGGTTCGCCGGTGTTACTGGGTCGCAGGTGTTGCAGGCTCGCCGGTGTTGCTGGGTCGCCGGTGTTGCAGGTTCGCCGGTGTTACTGGGTCGCAGGTGTTGCAGGTTCGCCGGTGTTACTGGGTCGCAGGTGTTGCAGGTTCGCCGGTGTTACTGGGTCGCAGGTGTTGCAGGTTCGCCGGTGTTACTGGGTCGCAGGTGTTGCAGGCTCGCCGGTGTTACTGGGTCGCAGGTGTTGCAGGTTCGCCGGTGTTACTGGGTCGCAGGTGTTGCAGGTTCGCCGGTGTTACTGGGTCGCAGGTGTTGCAGGTTCGCCGGTGTTACTGGGTCGCAGGTGTTGCAGGCTCGCCGGTGTTACTGGGTCGCAGGTGTTGCAGGTTCGCCGGTGTTACTGGGTCGCAGGTGTTGCAGGTTCGCCGGTGTTACTGGGTCGCAGGTGTTGCAGGTTCGCCGGTGTTACTGGGTCGCAGGTGTTGCAGGCTCGCCGGTGTTACTGGGTCGCAGGTGTTGCAGGCTCGCCGGTGTCAATAACCTATGGGTAGGTTTCCAGCTGTCAGGGGGCCTGACAGCTGAGTGGACAGAGCTTGGGAATCATAGTCCTGAAGTTCCGGGTTAGATCCCTGCTGAGCAGAGTTTCTTTCACCCTGATACTCCTGTTCACCTAGGAGTAAATAGACACCTGGGAGTTAGACGGGCTGCTTTCTGGGGATGTGTAACAAAAAGAATGCCTGGTCGAGGACCGGGCCGCGGGGACGCTAAGCCCCGAAATCATCTCAAGATAACCTCAAGGTAGCTCCAGGTGCGGCAGGCCATCCGACTGATGGAAGGACGACTGTCAACCTATCCTCTCATCTGCTACGTCCCATTTGTCACAAAACCTACCAGACTGGTAGAAAACCAAGTCACCGTAATGCTGAAATTTTCTGTTGATCGGGCTAGATAGGATAGGTGGGTTGCTTGGGTTCGTACGTTTTGGATAGGCAGACCCGCTACATTTGTTTACGGTATTAAACTTGAGGGACCGACCTGGATAGATATAGCGGGGGCGGGCGGGACGTCGTACAGAGTGAGCGCCATCTGGCTGGTCTTTCCTGGACTCTATACACCTCCAGATATCCGGCCTATCTGGGTGGCTCGCAGGTCTGTAAAGAGTCGATCGTGCCGGCCCCTCTAAATCCTTCTTCCGGCGGTATTGCTTCGAGACTCACGGGTATTGTCACGGGCAAGTTTTAGTTCCCATGGAGGGACCACCTCAGGAGGAGGAGGGAATACCTCAGAAGGAGGAGGGATCAGTCACCGTCCCCAGGACTGCGTCCGTAGTGGGGATCAAAGCTCCGGTGTGTCCCACCAGCTTGGTCTTGTGTACACAAAAAGTTCAGCAGCATTATCTTTCAAACTTCAAAGTTAATTACAGTGACGTGGAAGAAACAGTAATAACGATAATGACAATGATAATATATTAATGATAATGCTAATAATACACTTCTCTGTATCTTAAGCACGCTCTAAAATATTGTTTTACTCAATCTGTAGCACAAACACCCGGTGAGGAAGGGGTGTACACAGTGACGTTTGGTCCACAAGCGGCAGGTGTTAGAGATGGGTGAGACGGGTGTTGGGAGGTAGGGGGAAGGGAAGAGGTGAAAGGGGTGATGCGGGTGGGGGAGGGGGGTGGATGGATGATGGGGGGGGGGGGGAGGAGAGAAATAAATAATCTGACTCTGCATCTTGTCAACAAACACGCCTGGTGGTGCACTGGTTGCGGGGCTTTGCGGCTTGGCCAACGCACTAGGCTGTGCAGCTGACGCAAATGTTGCGTCCTTATACAACACCTGATGCCTATCCCGGCCTTATAACCCGTTATCGGGTCACTAGCACACTATAACTAGAACACACTATATTCACTAGCGAGTATAAGCCTCCTGAGTTTATTTTGATGCAAGGGGTGTTAACAACCCATCTGCCTTTCATCACTAATTTGACAGTTACATATTCCAATAAAA